GTTTACGTTGTGTAATAAAAATGAAACTGGCTCTGCGCTCTTGACTACCGGACATAGCTTATTAATTCAGAAGCTGAGTGAGGCAATCACAGACTCAGAATCATATTAGTCATTTCTATTGGATATGGACTCTGACCTGCAGCTCATGAATAAGAGTTACCGAAACTTAACAAGAATGTTAATGAGATTCATAGAAATGGCAAATGTACAAAGGGGCAAGCGTTACATTTGTATACAACATAGAGTTTGCATGGTTGGCCACACATGTCAATCATTTCCACCCTGGAGGCAAGTGAAAACGTCAGGCTGAGACACTTTCAGTTTGTCAGGCTGAGGAAGGAGTCATTTGTGCAGGATTTTTGGATCAAATAGTATCCAAGAACTGTGATGGGTATTTTGTATGAAGGCCTGAGTGGGAAATGAAAGTCAAAATTAGAATTTTGTGAAGACCTGAGGACTTTCACTGATCTGTGGTTAAAAGTGTTTGAAGCATTTCAACATGTTTTTAATACGCGTGAAACTAGCGTGAGCTAAAGATTGCAGAGAGATGACATTTCCACCCGCAGGTATTACTGGGCTCATAAAATCTGAATAATAGAGAAAGCGTATCTCTATTTCAACCAATAGCATTACAATATATGTTTCAGTGAGTATCATACGTTCCAATTGCAGTCCAAATAGTGCAATGGATGAGACCTTTGCAATATGTATGGCAGTTTGCTTCACCCTTTTTATGAATAATGAATTGTAATCAGATCTCTAATTATTCTCTGAAAAACACACAAGTTCTTGCTTAATAGGTCCCATAATGCAGCCGGTTGGGGTGAAAATGAACCAACAAATGAAAGATAAAACAAGGGATGTGAAAAGAAAAGGTCCAAATGGTTCACAGAAGCAATAAAGGATGTCTGCCAATAACGACACACAAACATATCAGGCTGAGAGTTGGATTGCTCCGAGCTGTTCTGAAGCTAATAGTGCCACAACAGAAGATAGGGCTTTTCAACTAGCTGTTAAAACTATCAACGTGTGTTCCTTTCATTTTTTTTTATTCACAGTTGGCAATGAACCAGGTTTCTGCATGGCATGCTGTGACGCTGTAACTGAAGAGTGAACTGTCTGTGAAACAATCTTGTTCATTCAATCACATCCAAAAGTTTGATTTTTTTCACTCAGGCTCACAAAGTGTTGCATATGTATTTCTATATGTTCTCAAGAATTTTATATTAGGCAATCTACCGAAAGGGATTTCCAAATCTGCAGTCGAGATTCACTTTTCAAATGTATGTAAATAGCATATGGGAAGAAAGAGTGCCTGAACAAAAATATCATCACATTGACCCTTTAACCTAGAGGTGTTCCGGTTCAGGTCTACAGGTTACTGTAGAAATAAATAAATAATAATAATTAAGAAATACACACAGCAAAACACTATTTGAGGATATGTTGCTAGCTTTCAGTAACATTACACTCTCTGCTAGCACTACACTGTTGTTTGTTATTGGCTCACAACAAATGAACTAAAACAAGTACTTTTTTGAAGGCTGATTGTTTACTGTATCGGGTCGGTACATTGACCGGCATACTCAGAAAATACCAGATAACGCATCGTTTGACCAAAAGAACTACAAGCTGGAGACGGTAATTTGTTCATTCTAAATGCACAGGCTGTTAGCGTCGGTGTTTCAATCAGGCCTATTTGTATATAGAGGGGGTAATTTTCACCAAATAACTGCATATTGATTCAGGTCAGTTCACAGCGATTGTGTGAAAGTTCCGCCCGCTGAACCTATGCCAATGAGTCAAAAAGACACCGTTAGAGTCCCAAAACACACACAAGGTTTGAATGCAACCCTTACTGTGCTACAGCGCAAACAGAATCTGTGAGCTGGCACAATTCTTTTGTGAATCTGGCCCACAGCTTTTAAAAAGCATCACACTGTTTGGCTGCAGCAGAGCCTACAGAGACTCTGTTCAAACATATGCACAGCACATGCATCTATAACTGACAAATAACTAGAACATTTAAACCCTAATGTCTCAACGAATGTTTATACTGAAAAATGAGACACATTTTTCTTTTTTTGAACATGTGAATGTGCTATTGTTGGTATTGAGCTTTATGCATAATTGTAGTTGCTTCACCTGGTTATGGTTTGGGAAAATTTAATTTGTAAATCTACTTTTGTGCACTTTTTATTTAAAATACCATTCCTCATTATCAAGAAGTACAGAGATGGTGTTAAGTGATACATGCACGATAACCATGTGCCATTGAACTCAGGCTTCTGCTTTGTCAAATCATATAAATTCCGAGCAGCTTGTTGAGCTTTGGGCTGTCATTTCGTCCATAACACCCACACAAATGCTGCTACATCTGGCATGTGAGAGCCACTTACACCAACACAGCAGGTATGATATCAAAGATCAAAATTGCCATCAATTTCTAAATTGTAAAAAAAAAAAAGAAGTTTTTAACAAGCCTCTGACATTAGGAACAAGAAGAGACACTGTGAAGCAGATTGCACCATCACATGTCAAGTGGATCAGTATGTCAATAAATACAGGCCTACCTTGATGAATTATGTTAGAGAATTTGTAGTTTTTGCTTCTAAGAGAATCCTAAAGGTTATCAAGAAACATTCATAACAGAGGCAGCAGCTGAAAGTGTGTTTGAATGGAGCACCGAAGAGGAGATGAGCCACCGCTATCTGTTTGACATTTCTGTCAGAACTGGTATTTGAACTGCTGGGTAGCTCTGACAAATGCCATGGCTGTCACAGACCGGATTTTAATTACACCTGACTGAGTCTTTCAGGGGCTCAGGGATGAACTTAATTAGCTAGCGAGCTTTGGGCTAGCCTTGGTGTGGGATGGTACAACTCTCACGGCTTCTTGTTCTGTGGATTTTCATTGGCATTTTAATGGTCCTCGTCTATAAAGACTGGAAGCATTAACAAATGAGGGGAGAACAAATGGGCTCAGGGGATGACAGGAGTCTACTTTCAATACCAAACTGGATGTTAACATTTTGGTCCCTGTGTAAACGGAGATGCTTTTAAGTGCATCAGGCTATAATGAGAATGGAGTGTGTTGACCATGGAGTACAACCTCAAAATTGCTTTAAATGTGATACGTTGGCATTTCAAGGCAGACTTTCTTGAATATTAAGTATTTTGTCAGTCCAAAATCCTATTTTAGTGATTGACAGCATGAGCTGTGAGCTTTTGTCTTGCAAGAAGAGCCTAACCAATTGATCAATCTGCCAATACTATCTGGTTGGACTACACAGATCTGTTGTTGTGTGTAAGTTTTACCAATATGCCCTGATATGAAAACTTCTTAACATGATGTGTTATGGAAGAAACAAATAAGGATCATTTACCATCATATAGAGCATGTTCTGGCTCTTCTGTTTACAATGCTCATTGCACAATCTGCAGAAAATGTTGCAGAGCATTACTATGTAGGAGGCAGAAGTCCATGCTAGACTTAGCCGCCCACTAGTGCGTTCACACTTACATGCAGGTGAAGTCAGTGTGAGCTAATGTGAGAATACAGCAGGGGCGGATGACGTTTATATCCTGCTACCAGCGTTCGACTAACCTGTGATCGATGTGATCTCCATGTATGTACATTGTAGAAGTGCTTTGACATTTTCTGTTTGCCGGCATGCTCTACTCTGCTCTTTTGATGATTCTGTGAAAATGTCAAACAACAAGGTGTCATTGGTACAAACTAACCATACTGTCGGACTTGTGTCGTGTGCCATTTACGTGTCGTTCTTTGAACATCATGTCCTGCCTCCTGAGACCCCGCCACCCCTTTGGTCCATCACAATAGTCTCCTGCTGGGAGGTGCATGTGTGAAAAACCAACTCAGGAAGATTTCAGGTGCAGCTGACCTGATATTTTCTAGACATTTTCAGGAGTGCATATGTGAAAACAGATTAGGTTGAATGTAACAAATCCTATAAACTAACTGTTATCTAAAAGCTGCCTTCAGGGTACCTGTGCCAAGTCATCTCTGTGCAGAATTCTTGCACAATCCCAATAATACACAACTATATTCATTACAGAAGATAAAATGAACTTCTTTGACCATTCAGTTCATGTTTAATGAAAGGTTATTATGAACAGCTCAAACTGGGATTGAATTAATCTTATAAATCCCACATCAGTCAAGCTACTCGTTTAAAGGGATGGAGTTCTTTAGAGGCCAGATTGCACACATTTAAAATTCTTGTATTTCCCCAAACACTGAAAATAAAAGACAAGAAAACATACCTGTGGGTTACAAAGAACAACTTCCATTCAGAAAAAAAGTGTGTCTAATAATAGGAAGACTTTGTTCCTTTTTATATTTAACCAGTTTCTTTAAATGGAACAAGTTTTCCGTTAAAAGGAAACACAGAAATACTGAGAAGTCTTGAGGCAGTAGTGTATCTGTGACATTCCAATTTCAGCTTTAGCTAACTGACAAGTTACGATAACACAGAGTCCAAAGTATCCCACTCGCTCTCCTCTGCATATGACAAGGCCATAGCAATGAGTAAGTGGTTGGTACATTTTAATGAACAAGAAGCCATCCAAGTAGAAGGTGATTTTAGTTGAAATCTTCCTCTGTTTGATCAATTAACATATCCACAGAAGGGGGTTGGGGGAGATTTCTGAGGAGAGTCCTTGTTCAACACATTTTTTTGTATAACTGACTAAACTAGTCATTGCCACAGAATGTCTTCCTATAGCTTTTGTTAATGTTCACTCCGCATTAACACAGATGACCAAATTAGTGACAATGATGACAATGACCAAATTTGCAATATGAACTATTTTGTAAAGCAACTAAGGATTTTTTTTTTTTACTCATGTAAGTCCTAGCTTGCAAAAACTGCAAGTAGCAGCAGATGTGGTCTCTTCCAGAAAAGTGAATGAAAAAAATACCAACCCATTGCAATGATGTACCAAAAAACAATAATTTATTATCATTTCTTTCACCGTTATCACACATTTCACCTGGCTACAAATGTGCCCAACTACGCATTACTCAAAAATTAGACCATGGACATCGACTCAAAAAAAATACAGGGATCAGTTTAAAATTTCGAATGTACAATATTTCACTTTAAAATGACGCATTTTGGGATGAGTGTACTGTACATATAGCTGAACTATAAATTCATTTGATGGATGGTAACCTCTCATGTCAGCAGTTTAGGTTTTCAATGATCCCATTTGCTGTGTTCTGAGTCCTGCTCAGTGGCAATCACCCAAACACAAGTTGAATGTGACTGCAAACATAATTCGGTAACAACTGTACAAGTTTTGTTGATTCTTCCTGATACTTAGAGTCATTTTTAGGTTATGTATGAATAAGGCTGACAGTACCTGCCTCTTGCACAGAGATATGCAGAAACACTTTGTGTATGGAAAAGCTGCAACACAAACACATCATTGATTGAGTTTTTGCTGTTAAGGCTATGCTGAGTAAAGGTGTATGGAAAGTCAAAAATATGTAAAAAATACCGGTATGCAAAAGATATGAGAAGGTCCATCTGTTGTCGAATATGTAGAAAAAAATTGGATTTTTAAGCAAAAATAAAACTGGATACAAAATATTTCTTTATCCAAAGCTGAAAACGATACAAAAAAGCTGCAACCCTGGCAACGAGCAATTTTATTCTGGATTCTTGAGATGTTTGTTTTCCTTTACCAAAAAATCTAGGAAAACTGTTTGGAAGAATAATTAAGTCTGTTTTTCTGTGTCTGCTGAGTCATTTTTTTTCCATGAACTTGTCAGAGTAGCAGCTTCTGAAGTGTTGTTTCGAAGTTTTTGTTGTAGCTTTGTAAAAAGAATCAGATCAAGTTAACCAATTATGGAAACGTAATATCAAGAGTTTGAATGCATCATGAGGTATTGACCTATTCAAAGTTTTTATAAAATTGCTAATAATAAAAAATTATATTATGAAAGGTAATTTGTTGACTCATTTTTAAAATGTACAATGTTTAAGTACACAGAAACCACACTAATTCTTTGCCCTGATGAATAGATATGGCATTATCATGTGAAACATATTTTTCAATCTGTTTCAAATTAGTTTGAGGAATTGAGCACTCGTAATTCTGTTAGTATTTTAGTAGGATCAAGTTTTACAGTACTCTTGGATTAAGAGCCTCATTTTTGTAAACATACTTAGAAGCTCTTGTGATGTGTTCTTCATCGTTTTAACTGAACTTTTTTGGAAATCAATACACAGATAATATTAACTCCTTCTCAACAACATAGAGAAAGTGATAAATTTCAGCTTTGAAAGATAAGTACATCTGACAATGAAGGAACATTAAGAAAACAAGAGAAAGGCTGCAGACCCAACTGTTTCACTTTGTACCTGGAACGTGTTCATGACACAAGAAAAATACTACACTTTTCTTAGGATGTTCATACAACTATTTTGAGTTATATAATGGTATGGTCTTAACATAAATATGAAAATAGAATTGAAAAGATAAACATGTTTTGACTGAGTAATAAAATAATTATCATCATTTCATAGAAAAATGCTTTTCCCACAGAGTGATGTGAAAAAATGATGTTGAAAATCATGGAGAAAATGCTGTGATAAAATCTTTACAAAATGCTTTTTGGGTTACAAAGTGTGAAAAATATTCATAATGTCCTCATAAAAACGCCACATTGAACGAGGCAAGTATCACATACCGCATGGGGTAGAATGTGTGTGTTATCTTTCTTTATACAGTTGTGACTGAAAGGAAGGCGTTGTGCACCTTGGCTCCCTCGGGGGCCTTAGTACCATGAGTCATCAGTTCCTGGATGGTCATCCAGTTATCCAGAATCTTCTTGTTGCGTTTCTTCATCATCTTCTTGTGGCTGAGTTCTATGATGCTGACTTCCTTGCGACCCTCGCTGCTGCTCTGAGGGTTCTCTTTCAAGCTTTCCAGGCGACTACGCTGCATAAACTCTCGTCTTTTCCTCTGTTCTTTTGCTCTGACCAGGTGCTGCTTCCTTTCCTCTTTACTCCAGTACCTCCCCATCTTCATTTCACTCATTGCATCATCATCCGTGGTCATTCCCCCGCTACGCTCCTCTTTAATCTTGAGGGCTCGCTCCCTCAGGATCTTATCTCTTACAGGCCTCTTGGTGATGTAGCGTGTGCCGTCGCTGCGGATCTTGACCTTCCACTCCATCTTGGGCTCATTAATTGGCCTCTGAGGCTCTTTGCAGACACTGAGCAGGCTGAGCTGGCTCTGAGCGTACTCCACAGCCGAGCGCTGCTGGATCAGTTGCATATAGCTCTGGTAGTGGCGGGCGTGAGCTGGGATGTTGACCTGCCTCTGCTGGGAGCTGTGGGACGGAGAGAAGTAAGGGATCTGGGAAGCACTTGGCTTTAAAACGCCCTTGCTCTCCTCCTCAGCCTGAGGTGTGTGCTTTGCAGGGTTGCTGTGGTCCGGGCTGCTGCTCTTACCTGGGACTGGAGCATGACATGCTGGGACTGGACTTGGGCTAAGTGAAGGGCCAGTGGCAAGGCTGCTGCAGAGGTTCCTCTGGTTGGTGAGACTCACCATCCTCTGGAGTGAGTGCTCCGGGGAGCGGTCCATTGCTAGAGGGGTGCTCCGTGAACTCTCAGCTGTGTTATAGGCACTGGAGCTGTCTTTGTCAGATTTCTCCAGCCTTTCATTAATGTCCGCCAGCTTACCCCTGGTGGGGTCACTTCGATTGAGGCTTTGGTTTTTGGTTGAGGGTGCACAGGGGCCCGTGGAAGGAGATTGCTGTCCCTTTCGAAGGTTATGGGCCTGCATGATGTTTTGACATTCAAGTTCAATGCTGCGCAGCTCTTCATTGAGCATCCGCAACTCGTGCTGCATGCCGCCCTGCTCGCCCACGCTGCACTCAATAGTGCTGCGGCGGCTGTAGAACAGGTCGTACTCCCACTGTTGCGTATCTGACACTTCAGCTCCAAGAGCTGCTGGAAACGATCACCCTCCATCTCGTCATCTTCCTCTTCCTCTTTGTCCTCCAGTTTTGAGGAGCCGGTACGGTGTGTGTCCCCATTGTCTCTCAGGCACTTGGACAGACGTCTCTGGATGTGTGCCAGGACATTATGCTCTGAGCTCTCCATTCTGTCCTTTATTCTCTGTACATTATCCTTATGAGGCAGTGTGGAGCAGGTAGGCTCATCGTCTTCTTCTCTCTGAGAAATAACATAAACAAGACATTCCTGAAATACTCTGATATTGAACACATGCAAAACTGCTACACTTATTTGTGTTAATTTATCCACTTCTATTCGATCAATGCTACTTAAAGGAAAACTGTAGTTTAAAACTGTTTTGATTTTAAGGATGTGTAGCAAGTCTGCAAATGTCTTTTAAGTTATTTTATGTAGTTGACTCGTCTGTTGGGATGAACTTTAAAGGTACTCCGGTGTTTTCTGTTATACCTGCATTTCTATGGAATGAGGACAGAGAAGAACTAAAATACATCCGAACTGCTGTATTAAGAGTTCAAAAAGTGAAACCCACTTCTTTAGTATCCTGGAGGATTACATATGCTGTTGTGCATAACTGTGTTCTACAGCTCTGCTACTTCAGGGATTGTTTCCTCTCCATCATGCCTTTGAAGTTCCGTTTATATGGATTTTTGTAGCATGCTATTCTCTCAACAAAACAGAATTTTAAATCATGATTTTTCTATGTTTGGAATTGAAATGGTTCATTGGTCCCATCCCATACATATTCATACTCATTATTTCATACTCATTTTTCAAAGGGCAAAGCTGTTTTCACTGTTTTCCCCGGAAAGTCAATGAAAAGTTTGATTTCCTGACTGCTGCCGGCTAGAGCTGTTTAATATTGACTGTGACTAATGACCCGAAACAGTCAAAGCAATTTTTGGTCAGTCAGAATGGTATGACATTCATAACACACTGGGCTCTACACTCTGTCAGTCAGGGGGGAGGTTAACTTTGATCTATTCTTCACAAAATATCTGTTTTTAGGAGCCATGTTGTCATTGAACAGAGCAAAGACACGAGCTTCTACAGTTTCTTCTACCCAGATACCAAAGCTCTGCCATTGACTCGTTAATCCAGTTATAGTAAAGCATGTGTTTTGCTGCTGTCTGACCTGCTCATTCTCCTGATCCTCTTCTTGTAAGGCAGCCAATTCCATCTCCTCTCTCTGCTGCTCCTCCAACATTTCCATCTTCAGCTGCTCCAGGAACTCACTGTGCTCATCGTCCAACCAGTCCTCCTCCAGCTAAGGGTGAATGAAGAGGGAAAGAAAAGGGGCAAATGTTATTTGTCAAGGCCTAAAGCTTGTGGTAACAGTGTCCCAAAACAAAGTGTTGGATGCCCAAATCGGATTTGGTGAAAAAAAAGAAAGAAAGAAAAGGTTTTGAAATAAGAAACTGAAAGAACCAGTAGGTGTATTGTTTGACTGATATGCACCAGACTTCTTGCCCTACAAAACAACAACCCTCCTTTTTAAAACATGCATTCTTATCTTAAAATCAAGCCAATACACTTCAGTGGCTTTTCCACTGCGACCTCTGACCTATCTGCTCCACACCATCTATCATCTATTTGTCTACTTGATGCGAACCAAATGGAATCCATATCTGTAGACTTCAGATTTACTACCGAGAGACACATTTAATTACAAAGAGTCTACTATTGCTACTGGCTCATCTGCACTGCGGCAGAGTTCTTCGCTTAGTCGCCATCGGCCTTGGGCCTGAACTCACTTCACATTAGCATGCCATTAGCTTTTATGGCTTAGCGTTGGAAGTCAATTACAGTGGCGCTACATAAAAATAAAACATGATGAGGTGTCTCAGTGGTGGCTTCCACTTGGAGAGGTTGTGGTGTAGAGGGGGAGGGCTGGCTACCCCAGACTGCTGAGGTTTACCCTACTATATACAGTATATATATATATGTACTGTAATGATAAAAGTTCAGGGCTTTCCTTTGTTAGCAGTGGGCCCCATGTTATACGTTATATGTTTGCTTCAATGGTTAAACAGAGAAAAGTGCTATTTCAAGTGTGTTGTATTTCCACACCTGCAATTCAGGTCTGGCAACCAGCAGCAGGATGTTCCTGCACTCGTCGTTGGAGAGCGCAGCCATGGCTTCCTCTCTGTCTTGTACGTCTTGGCCATTAATCTGAAGATGACACGCAAACAGGATTACTACACTCCCTATTAATTCAGAAGCAAGCAAGCAAGCAAACATGTATTAGCTTCAAAGCAGCAAACATTTACTCAAATGTACATAAATACACAGAGAATAGTTTTATTCTCCCAATAAAAGCCCTTAAGAAAAACAAAGTACAACAATAAAAGTGGCACTGCACATTAATGCTGTTTTTTCCTCAGGAAATTGTAAACACTATGTGCTGCTCCCTAATACATATCTGGACCCAACGGTGATTAGGAATGGGACAGTGGCCGTGGGCCGACGGAGCTGTTGTGTACCGGGCGGCGTACATGCATCTAGCCGTACAATTAACTGGCCACTGACAGGGGGCGTCCATCTTTTTGCAGGCAGAGTAATGGCCCTGTCACTGGTGGATAATAGTGCCAGAGTACTGGTCTGCCTCACAAACACACACATACACCCTCCTCTGGTTTAAACCAGGCACAGAGCACATGATAGACTCCAGAAGACAATTAGACCAACACTGCTTATTTATCCTCCCCCTGCTTCTTACAATTGCCTTCGCAGACTAGTTACTCCTCCTTAGACTACAATTCTGTTTACCCCACTAAAAATACTGTATACAGTTGTACTGATTTATGCTCATTTTATACAAAGAATATTAATGTGTGCTTTTCAATTTATAGACCTTTAATTGAAATTTTTATTCTACATTTGACTCACAATCTTGTCAGTGTTAAAACTGTTCATTACCCTTTTTTAGCATCAGAGATTACCCCTAAATGTGCACCGTTTAAACCTTAAAGCTGCTGATACATTCTGTAAAAAAAAAATTGAAAAATGATTATTAGTGATCTCCTAATGATGCTAGAATACACAGGGTACTAACGCTTAACTTTTCTGATTAACACATCTCTATTGAGCTTTCGATTCTCTTTGAACCCGTTGTTTCTTGGCCTGCAGACTGGGCAGCAGTTAGTGAACATACTGAGCATACTGTCAGTGAACTATTGGCAGTACTACCACTGCAGACTGACAAAGGAAAACTTGGGTCCCAGAGAAACAAGCAGATTTTTGTTCGAGCAAAATAAATGACTCGATGGATTGCTACTGGCCCTCTTTTTAATACTGCCCTGCATTTTAGGCTATATTAAAGGAATGACAGATACTGGTATCGTTATTGGAACAACTCTAGAATAATCCCTGATACTCCCACTGTAAACTACATTTTAAAACCACACCATAATTAACTCTGTAGGCAACTCGAGATCTTCAACCAAGTCCTGCTGCCTTTAGATCACACTTTAAGACACTATACACACTAAAAGATGGCAATAAGTGACAAAGTGATGAACATAGTTAACATAAATCAAACTTTAGGGCCTGATATTTCCTATAGGAGACACTAGTGATGAAAAAAATAACAACTTTAAGGAAGTCTTCAATGATATAAAATAAATATAAAGCAAATGTTACACTTAAATTAATCAGGAAGCTGCAATGCTGAAATAAATGCTACTGATGAATTCCTGAAAATGAACCTACATTTTCCAGGAGAGACGCATGTGTGAACACAACCTGGCAAAAACTGTCAAAGTATCAACATTTGTTTGCTATTTCCACCTTGTCTTTTATTCATAATGAGGGAGTCTGCTGAATGTGAAAAATGGCAACTGTTTCCCATAATGAATAAATCAAGTTATAATATGTCAGATATTGTTTTCAGCATGTTTCACTGCCCCCAAGTGGCAAAAAGAAATGTGCTAATGCTGCTTTGACTTCACAATTAGAAGCACAGTTAAACAAAGATAATAATTACCAGCCTTACCCAGAGAGGCAACACTATCCAGCCCTCAGCCCTACAACTACCTCTTCTCACAGTTGCAGAATGTCTCTGAATCTCAGGCCTGTAGATGAAGCTGGGGGGCTAATAAGAGACAATCAGAGCCTTTCAGCTACCCCACAAGAGATGTGAGCTGCAGCACAGTGCCACCCTCAACCAGAACTCTAAAGAAAACCCTGTTGGTGCTGAGTCTGTAACTAAAACAGCCAGGGGGGCACTTCTCCCCCTTTAACAGTCACAGCGGGGGGGTGTTCTGCCTTTTTAATGTGCTGCCATTAAAAATGAATGGGCTCTCGTGCTGGGAGACAGTGGTTGGGTGTGACAAAATAAAAGCAGGTTTTAATGTTGAATGAAATTAGATCTTTAGCAGAGCAGGAAACAGAGTGTGTGTGTGTGTGTGTGTGTTCTACTGTACCTGTAAGATGCGATCCCCCTCTCGGATCCGCCCGTCTCTGGCTGCGATGCTGTTTGGACTGATCTGTGTGGAGGTAGAAAAAAAACAATGTATGCCTCCATTACACTTACAGTTTTTATTTAGTGGAATCACAAATTGTCTGAACAGTTTCAACTTATTGTGGAGACATACGCCAGAGATAGACACGTCTAGACTGTTTTAGCAATGTAAGCAACATTGGTTTGCTGCAAAGGAAAGACCTTAGAATTCAAAATGTTCTCCTGTAGCTACACGTTCACTTAATGAACTCTTTTTAGCCTGTAACAAAAGCCATAAGAAGTTAAATTACCACTCTCATCGTTTAAGTTTTATTGTGTATCCATCTTGGTTGTTATATCCAGGCTAGATTTATATATCACAAGCCTCTGCTTATAGCATCTACAGCCCATAACTCAACCTCAGTACATGATGCACCTGCCCCTTCTGTAACTAATGCCAGTGAACAAGGGGGCAGGACACTCTTTCATCGGCCAATCAATCGGTGTCTGGGGCCATTCGTTTCACTCTCTCATACAAGGCGGGACCTCTGGAGATGGTGAAGTGCTGTGGCACTCCATCTTCATGATAGTCTACTCCTACACAGAGGAGCACTCATTAAACTGGGAGGAAGGTCACTAGACAGGACTAGGGGTAGGACAGAAGGGAAGGGAGCATATTAAAGGCAATATTTGTGCCGTTATGAGCGAGCAACCCAAACCCTGAATTGAAAGCAACTGAAATTTGAAATAGCAAGCAACACAGGAAGATTCAGGGGCAGACTGCTTGAAGTTCTCAGGAGTGCATATGTGAAGACAGCCTTGTGCATTTTGCTCTCCAAATAGGTTTGAGCATTGAAATAAAATGGATGTAGAGGAAACATATAAAAGAGGAGGAAGGTGAACTACAAACTCTAAATATCCCATTAATACAGTGAAGGAGTATTTCTGTTGACTCTGTAATAGACTAGCTACAGTACCAGTCCAGACAGGACTTTGGCTTTTTGCCCTGTGGATGCTGGGACGCGCTCCAGCTCCACCTGTCCCTGAATAGAATTTAAAAAGTCTAGAAAATGGATGGGCCAGTGGATTAGAGACAATAACTTTTTCCTGCTTTTTGTTCTCCTGAATTATTTAGCCTTTATGCTGTTTGACACATTGGAAACAAAGAAAAATACACTTAATAACAACACAGAGAGAAAACAAAGTGGTCATTCATCAAGAGCGACAAACTAGTGCAATTTCTGTTTGTTTTAAAATGACCTTGGATTGTTCCTGACTCCTTACTTATGCGCGATCAGAGCACATAACACCTTTTTTTCGACCGCATCGTCTATACAGTGACATTCAGCAACCTCATCTAAATGCAGCACACAACTCTAAGCTCTACTTTTGCACAGAGCAAACACTTAAAGATGCTGCCAGAAGCCACAGACCGCACTGATTTATATTCCACTCAGCTCTCAAAGCGAACACCTTGCATGGTCCGAGTCCACTTCAAACAAATCAAAGAGAAAGTTGAGCAGTATTATTTCTCGTCTCGCAACAAGTTGGGAGAAAAATTGAAAAGTTTTGCTGCTAAAAGGTATTTCAGAGCGTGCTTGTTTATGCTGTATTAAGACGACTGGATGAACAATGAGACAAGACCTGAAAGCTTTCTTTGATTCATGTCTTGGCAGGCACTTCACGTTTGAAAACCAGCAGTGTAATCACAAAGCGAAAGCTATGCCAAACTGTTCAATAATATCATTTATGTTTGATAAGAGTTCAATTTTGAATAACTACACCCAATAGAAAAGCGGCCTTTCTCACATGAATACTTAATTAGAATTGTGAGATGAATATGAAATGTCATAATTGATTTAGCCTTGAAATTCCAGCTCTCTCAGTTTTTCACACATTTTACTGAGATATGGTTAAATAGCCATGATGATTGTCTCGTTCTATTAACAGTGCATGTGTAAATGTAGGACTTCAAAGAGCAGCATAGAAGGAAACTGTATATAGAATATGCATACCTCTTGTCCCAAGAGTATTGTTTTTTTAATCAGCTGTGTTAGCTATGGTGGAGGAAGAGCTAACTGGAGGTGGATACATGTGGCATATTTTTTAAAGTATCTCCAGGAGCAAAGCAGAGTGGGGAGAGATCAAAGAGATATGATACTCCGTTCAGAGAGTTCTGCAGTGAAAAGTATGAAGTAGCACTTCCTCAAGGTGGAGGATGCAACACTCAGTGTTACATAAAGGAAATGAATCCTTTCAACCCAAGACATTTCAAGTCTTTAATCATAAGGGTAAGATATTTACTCACCTCACTGACATAGATGGCCACATCCTCCTCTTCATCTGTCCTGTAGCACAGAGTTAGACCCAGTTTCTCTTGGCTGCTGAGTCGACACAATTCCACTTCCTGTGTTCAAAAGAGGATACATTGTAATGTCAAAAAAAGACCAAAGGTCAACAGGAAATCAGTCGTAGCATTTTCTTGAGCAATTTGCGATCATCTGCATTCTAGTAATGAAAGCGCTACCATGCTGGAGTTCAGCTGGAATAAAGTTTCAGCATCAACAGTTTAGCTTAGCTAGTTCACATGCTAATATTAACCAGCAGTTTAAGAAGTGTCAGGGCAGTCCATCAGACTGTCATCTGGACCACAAATGTAACCTCAGGGGTTTGGATCAGTCAAGTTACTGAGATTCATCTTGTTCTGACATGATAACAGTCAGTATTAACGAGGTGCCCTAACTAACCACTAGACATCGCCTCTCATGGAGCAAAGATTAATCAGATATTGAAGGGGTGAAGAGAAAAATTGAACATTCAGTTTTAACATTGTAAACAATAGTTGACATAACAGTGTCATCACAAGCTGCATTCAGTATGTTCTCTGAAGATTTTGGTAAATTCAGAGAAATTGTTTGGATATGCTTTTCAAATAAATTTTTTTATTTTTGTATAGCGTCAACTCATAACAAGTGTTATCTCAAGACACTTTACAAAAAGCAGGTAAAATACCTTACTCTTTGTCTGTTAACATTACGAAAGAGCAGGTAAAAAGACCTTAAAAAACTGCCTTATTAAAAGGCAGAAATCTTTGGCCGGATCCCCGGCTCATGACGAAACAGCCTTCACAGGCCTAGACTGCGCCGGGCTTGGAAAGGGATAGGGGGAGAGATGGGATAAGATGCAGGAAGAGGGATAGGGAGCAAGGGGGTAAGGGGAGGCAAAACGTCCATCGACAATCCGGTGGGGGGGGGGTTGTTCTGGCAGATCATACACAGTCAGATTTACATTGATCAACACTTCAAGACAATTCCTTGGAGTTCTTAGAAGAGAAATACACTACACTATTTCAAACACTGCTCAAACTCCCACTCCTTCAATGGTCCAAGTAATAGGAGGGAGAGCTCCAGAGCAGCCACAAAGCGAACCTTTGCTGTGATGTTGTTTTGCAGACCGAGGACCTCTGTAACCTCAAATGAGGACACAGAAAGTGATCTGAGACTGCACATAAATTACCATCAAACTCAAATCTTGATGCAGAACAATGGCAACACAAACACTGAGTTTCTGTTCCACTCAAGATCAAATACAGCTCTCCAACTTTTAAGCAAAAACATCTTGCTTGTTTTGAGTTGCCAACTCTCTTCTGAGGTTTCTGAGTGTGAAAGTGTTTGATCATGAAAGACATTTTCAGCCTGCACAGTTTGATCGGTGGGGCTTTGAAAAATGTCAGAGGACCTGAAGTGTTTTTTTTTTTTTTTTTACTCTCAAGCTGTTGCCAAGTTTTAGAATATTAGACTATAAATAAACTATAATTATGCTAATGTTAGCAGATATACATATTTGCTGCGCGCTAGAGTATTCCGCATCTTCCCGGGGGGGAGAGATCAACAAACTATTGACTTACAAATCAGTGGACGTCAAATTTCCCAGGAGCCTCTTGGAACATAGCAAAGTACCCTGGCGTCAACATGAATTCTGTATTTAAGTTCATAAATACAAACACACAGACAGTGAGATCTGATTAACCACAGCTGGAGCTTGTGTGAGAGGCACACTTCTCCTTCCTCTAATATTCAAAGTCTGTTCTGAATATGGAACCAACCAACACTTTCACTTTTCACTCTCAGTTTCCCACAACAGAGGTGCAGCCAAAGCCTTTGCTCCATCTCCTAATGCTGAAACGTATCAAGGGTGTTGGAGGGAATCAAGTGTGAAATGGCCTCTCCTCCCAAAGTCTTCATTAGAGCAGAAACACAGCAACTCTCAGCAGCAGAAGCGAGCTGGCTGAGTGGCGAGGAGGGGAGGGGAGGGGAGGGGGGGGCAGAGGGAAATGAGGCGGGGAGGGTCTGGCGGGACTCGGAGGGGTCTCGCACGGGAAACAGAGAGATTCATTTCCTCTGTGACAAGTGTGGGTTGGCTGGTTACACGTGTCAGATGTGGCAGAGCTTCTGGAAGTGGACAAGGAGGGGGGCATGAAGTCTGACCATGGTGGGATGAGATGAGGGGGGGAAAAAAGGCCATTAACACTGCCAGAGAGCAACCACCTGGTGCCTCTTTCCACCCCGCCTAAGCCGTTTATGACCCCTCACTTCCTCTTACACACACACACATAAACACACAAACACATCTTTAGGACCAATTCCCATCTTCCTCCCTGTCCCCTGTCACTCATTTCCCCCTACGTTTCTCTACCTCTGCCTCCTCTCACTCATTGACAGATTTGTTCAGGTGTTTTTGGATCAGGGGGTCTTCTGCTTCTAGGCTACATCCACCTCCACAGAAACAAGAAGAAGAAGATCCTTCATCCCTGTGTGATCCATTTGATTTCACGCTCCAGTTCACTTCCACATTCCAGCGGGAATGCAGACATTCGTACAGACGCCGAGTAAAAGGAGCTGAAGAAAACAGACATCATCCAAGCTGTTTGGTTTTATGTTCCCCGACAGCCTCCACCTGACGGGGAGCTCAGATCTTTAATTGACTGTCTCAGAAGCGACGACAACCTGAAATCCCTGCTGATATGTTAGCAACACACGGTGAAAGAGGGGAGACGCTTTGGTGCGGACTACCTGAACAAAAAGAGCTGCAGAAATATCCGTCATTAGCTGTATTAAAAAATGTTGCTAATGAGCTACCGCCATTATTGTTTCTGGAGACGTTATTAAAGCGGCACATCTCATGATGCAACGGAGCAGTCATGGAGGTAATGGGAGCTGCGGAGACAGTGCACACTTGCATGCTAATATGATGTGTGAAGTTGTGGGGAAAAAAAAAAAATGAAATCGCTGGCAATGTCTTGGAGACATCTGCCCTAAAAATAAATCACAAATTAATTGCTAAGGCAAAGCAGAGGTGTGAGCAGGTACTACATCAACACTTGTAGTCCCTTCAAGTGAATATCTGTCAAATTAATGGGCTGGATAAAAGGCTAGAGACCTGTGGCAAAATGATCATAGAAAAGCATATTGCATGAAAAATTGCAAGTGTGTTAACTAACTGCAGCACAAATGTAGCCCTTCTTTTTTTTTACCAGATGTTCTTGCTTTATTGTTCGAAGACAAAATTTGTGTTGAAAAACCACCCACTCAGCTCAGACGCTGCAGTGAAAGCACGTTGTCTCCTGATCCATCAAACTCGCATTCACCAATCTCTGTCTCTCGTCTTTTTCTCGCCTCTTGAATTTCTTTTTTTTTTTTTCGATTCCATTTTCCAGGCGAGCTCTCTGCCTCTCAGGCAGGAGATTGCGGCGTGGCACAGGGAAGAGGGCTGACAGTAAATTAATGACTGCAATGGCGTGATTAGGGGGAAGATTGCCGCCCACCATCGAAGCACATTGGATGCTGTCATAATAATCGCGCCTTTGATTACCAGTAATTGAAAAAGCAGTCGCAAATGCAAGGACGGTTTCTACTAGCAGGAAGAGAGTGAAGAATATCTCTTAGATTGGAGTACTTCCTCTTTTTCTAAACTTACTGAAGGTAAGAAAGTAAGTTTCTGTGTGAAACTCTGGCACGTGTACAAGCCAAACATTAAAAAGAAAAAGGACATTATAGCTTTCTATAATGTCCCAAGTTTATTCAGTTTTGACTGTAGGGCTGGCAGAGAAATTCTTCCTCTCCTCCATAAAGAAATAGTCAATTGGCTGAGCAGTAAATTCAGGAGTAAATTTTTTGCAGTGTATCTTTACAGAAAGAGGTGTCTCTCCTAGCTTGTTAAATGAAGTGTGACTTATTCTGAGCCAAACAAATTTTGAAATAGCAGATAAAGTGTGAGAGAGACACAGGTAGGGAAGTGGAGTGGGATATTAGCCTACTAAATATAAACTGTGTACACTAAAGGAATGTAGGGAAACTTGTAAAACATATGGTTAGAGAAGTAGTTCATGTATCCTGTGGTAGTTTGATCACTTCAAAACTGGTCAGTAGTTTTTCCTTATCCCATACTCCTGGACATGGTTTGAATCAAGGCTTGCCTATTTCAGCTGTGCAAGACAGTTCTTAAACTTTGCTTTCACAATGGTGTAATATTGGTGTCTTGTTGTGTGATATCACATTGTTTTATGGAGATGAGGAAGTATCTGTGGAAAAACATATCAACAAACAGCAGGAGCTCTACACACACACACACACACACACACACACACACACAGCGCTGTTACGCCTAGCAGGCTCCAACGTGCTTTGGACTTTGCCACACCATTATACTTCCGTGCAGATTAGTTATAAATACTCTGTTTTGAATTGACAATGCGTGAGGGGACTATTATTTTACAGCATTTTTTTTATTTAGTTATGCTTCAATTATGATTAAGTTACCTTCAATCAAAGTCCAGTGTTTCTTGTAATTCCTCTACGTTGAAGCCTGTGTGCAGTCTTAATTGAACATGGGCTCATGTAAAAATCCAGTTAATCCATATTGGTACAGGTGAACACACAATTCAGGGTTTCTTTACTTGATATCTAACTGCATAACATTAACTGGCTTTCTTTAAACTGTCTGCTGTCAAATGTTTGACAGGTAGGATCAAGTTGAATGAAAACTGTTTCACTGATACTGCCTGCTCTGGCTGATAGTTTGAATAAGGTGACCAAGAATAAAGCTACATTTTTTTGGTAAACAGTGTCAAATTGGTTTGTGGCTAACATTAGCAGTACCAACACTGGCAGATCTTGGTCCGCCTTGCAGGTTAACACCCACAAGCCTTTGCTGAACTGGATTAAACCTGGGCAGTAGAGCTGGGAGTGAAGGCCCAGTAAGCGGGGCTACAGCTAAACTATGGCTACAGTTAGCTGTTCATTTGGCTCGTTGCGTAAATCCCTTATAGTTTTGCAACACACCCAGTGAGACCAATCATTTCTCTATTTCCATGTTACTACTTTCTGTGATCTGCATTTCCTGTTTTCCCTGTGAATGCCTCAATAAAAAAAAGTCAAGTTGTGATAACTTTTTAGAGTTAAAAAACCTTATCACAGAGTATAAAGTGTTTCTGTGTATTATCACTCAACTGGCCCTCGCAGGGCTGGATAGTGTCAGAAGGCGTTAATGGAAAAGCTAAACTAGGCTAAAATTTGCCCTTGAGCTAAGTAAGTGGGATGCTGAACTCAAAAACATCACTGTGCTCAATACTGCAAGAAGCTCCTTTCACATTATGTTTAGAATTTAGATTCAATGTCTATGTCCAAATATTGATTAAGGTAGCTTTAACTGCAAATAAACACAATATGTAACACTGTAGGTTGTAGCATTTAGGTCATACTGTATTTAGGTGTTTCTGTATATTTATGAACTCTGTAGCCATTTGTGAAAGAGTTTATTGATCTCTCCTTTTTTATGTCTCACTGAAAAACATCTTCAGAACTGATGGCTTCCATCAATATGTAGTGAATTCTGAATTCTATTAGATACTTAGTCAGGAAAATAAAATTAAAACGTAGTTGTATGTGTTTTTTTTGTTTTTTTTACATCCACCCTTACAGCTTAAAACTATACAATACACTATAAATGTGTAATTCCACTGCAGCTGGCTTCTCTCCACCTCATCACCCACTGTACTCCAGGACTCACATGTTGATTACCCTAACAGAAACATCAATGTCCTGGTGTATTTGGAAGGTGAATTAGATTCCAAATGGTTTCCCTGTGATGTGATGGCAAACTGCTCTCCCCCACTGTGCTTTTTCATCTAATCTAAAGAAATGTGTTTCCCCCATTCTCTTTCCTCTCCTTCAACGGGGAGTGAGGGATCAGGCCAACTCTGGAGGTGGCTTTTTAGCTTTCGCTTACATCCCCCTCACAGTGTTGTCAGTTGACATACAGTAAGTGGGGATGCATTAGCATGGTATCAAACTTCCCAAGCATGAAATAAAAACAGTGCAAGGCTGCAAAGCATACCAAGTATAATAGGATTTGTTAATAGCAATGAGGCATAAAGAGAGGCTTTAATATAATATATTTGCTCCGATTTGACACTGGGGCGTCTGCGATCCAACTGGGTGCACAGATCTCTTTTAGGATGTGAAGAAACAGCTCAAGCTCAGTGGGTGGAAACGTTCAGAACAAATTCAAATGAAACAAATAAGAGGAGGGAGGGGTGAGTACTCATCATACATCAGACCAGCCGGAGCCCTCGATGGCAATATGTTCGCACCTCAATGACTCGGAAATAAAGAATATTGGACCAAAGCAGTGAGCGGCGACAGAAGCTGTTATCTCTTCCTGTCACAGTTGATTCATTGCGTCTATGTATATCTGTATGTGTCAGAGATCAACAGTCTTAATAGCGGCGCCTTTTCCGACTGCTCCTGTTACTTTCACCCCATCGAAGTTGAAGAAGGATAGAAATGTGTTTCCACTTTTGTGGTTTCTTTTTTTTTTTTTATTGCACCTGACAAACTCACATTGCTTTAATTGGATTTTATCAAGCACAGAGTCAACGAGCGACCTCACTCTTTGTTCTAGAGCTGTGAAAACAATTAGCAGATCGCAGGAAAGTGCTTCACTGTTTGAGGATTTTCAAGCCCAAACACTGAGGCACGTCATAGTTGCCAATGGAAAAAAAGCAAATTTTTCAAGCTGTCAGCAATGTGGCTGATCATCTGTCACTACTGTCCCACTGGGATCTGCCTGTAGAGTCAATTAGTGTTTGGGCCCTTTCACCAATTGTTAAGCATCATTAAATACGGAGTGTAGGGGGAATGTTTGTTCATATGTTGGAAAGGTCAGGTGAGGATTTGTCCGTATGGTTGCAACTCTGCACAAAATGTTGTCAGCAGTTTCAGCAGTTTAGTGCTCAACTTGTTTGTTAGCAGTAAAGCTGATACTAGAACTTTGAGACCAGTCCATTAATGAATGTATACAAAAACCTTAACCATATATTGGCCAGTTTAATTTTCTTGTGTAATGTAAGACTGATGAGGATTTAAGAGGATCCCTTAAAGCCTTTGCATACCCATAACGTTATCCACAAATGTGTTTTCATTTATATTGTCTGATTAGACATCTTCTTTGGCCTGTGCAGATGTTAACCAGCCATAGTTTATTTTCATGTCCCTGACGTTGCTGTTAGTTTTGATGCACCTGTAAATATGCACTGTTTCCCACAGAACTTTACAGTTAAGTCGGCTACCTTAAAAACACTCTGCGCTCCTCTTTAACTGTAGTTGTAGAAAATAAAATTGATGTGAGATCCAACAGCATCTCTGAATGCTACAATTCACTTAGCAGATGCTTAACCAAAGCGACTTACATCAGAGAGTAAATACTACACAAGCAAGGATCTGAGGATGCTGTCTGATGCTCTGTTTGGATCAGTACCAGATGATTCGGGGCTGACCCTGAAACGTGACTTTTCTCTGCTTCATCTCACCGTGTCTGTCATACAGGTATCAGCTGGTGGTTATGGGTGACAACAATCAGAAATGTATCCCAAGTAACGTAATGGCCTGCTTTAGTCTGTAGCTGCAAACTTAAACAAACAGAACTAATATCCAGTTCTATGAGTGGGCTACATACATAGCCCTCTAATGGGCTTAGCTATTGTTTTGTTAACAAATTATTGTTATTGAAATGATGCAGCTTTTCATATTACAATCAGGTGTACTCAGATTAAACAGTAATGGAAAAATCTAAAGGCTTTCTGTCATTTTGACAGTTTAGAATACTGAGGGTGATTCAGTGTACCATCTAGTAATTCTTACACAGCAATTCCCTCAAGCCTGACACTTATTATGCGGGAAAATCCTGCACAAATTTACAATGAAGTTTACAATGTCACCGTATGATACACAGTAAATATTTGCATAGTTTTGTACAAGACAGACCAGCCCGAGAAGCTGCATCTGTCTAGATCACTTGCACACCAGTTCACTCTCTCCCTCTCCCCAGCACATGTACTTGGGCAGGTGTGCAGAGAATATGGGAAGCGACTGTCTGAAAATAGATTACTGTGCCAAACTTTCTTCTCCTTCTTGTCTTTTCTTTATCCCCACAACCTTGAACATCAGTTACATTCAGTCAAACAACAGCAAGGCAGCGTGTTTGTGCGCAGCACAGATGTGTTGTCTTTTAGTCAGAGTTAAAGAAAATACTGCTATTCTTATTTAACTTCTAAGCTACATTTAACTTCATCTCAGCTGCTCAGTGACCATATGGAGTTGATGAACACACAAGCTTAAGCTAACATAGTGTTAAAGCAGCATTCCAGAGGAGTTCTGTTTGGGACACATTGGCGCCCAACGAAGGTCTCTGAGTGCAACTGCACTGTCCTCAAAACCCACATAGTGTATTGACATCGCCAGTTTGACATCAAAATTGCAACCTACTGTTTTGTCAAACTCTCACCAACGTGTAAAAGCTCGTCCAATATTAACGCTCTTACGGCTTCTTGTCCGGTAACTTCTTTTTAGCTTCATCTGTCACCATCCTCTTCTGTCTCTTAGCCTCAGCCATCGTACCCAACTGTATCAAGGCGGGATAACTGGCTCCTTTTTAGCTAAAGGCTTTTGTGTGAACCATGGCTGTATCGCCATAAACACTTCTCGTTAGAGACCTGCTATCGAAGTTACATAGTGCTGAAAACAGGTGACCAGGTCGCTCTGTGGTTATGGATGCTATGCTCCCTGTTGAAAGTAATTTGGTGGAAAAAGTTACATAGAAGTTTCCACGGACTGGGGGTTAACAATAGATTTGATTTCATTGTTTGTTGAGTGACTGATCCAGTGACAGCCATCGACTGTATCTCGTTACCATTAAAAAAACTAATATTAAAATAACATATCACTTTGACAGCATTTTTAAGACCCTGCCCATCAAAATGACAGACCAGACCAGGAGAAAGTCTTACATAACCTCTTTCGCCAGAACGTACCCACAGGGATAAGCTTGAGCTAGCTGACACTGTAAGCCATGTCAGTGAATTTGTCAGGTGCTTGAAAGCAGTGATGTCAAATGTGATTCTTACCTCATACTCAAACTCCTCTGCCCTCTCTCCATCAGCTGGAACAGGCGAGAGGTAGCCTGTGCCATCATAGTATTCCTGCTCCATTGTATGAAGAGAGTGACAGCTGTCAGGGGAGACAGACAGAGAGTGGGGGAGAGAGAGGGAGGATGAGAGACAGAAGAGGTGAAGAATTAGACACAAGTATGAAAACTGCTCCACATTTTCTTTCACGTGTTGAATACCTCTAAGTGACAGGGTTTCCTCGTCTTTGTCTTTGCTGGAATCTGAAGAATAAAGGATTTGTCAAGGGCTTTCACTGCCGCTAAAGTGTGTGCGATAGATGTGCAGCCCCTTGTTAATAACAGCATAACCACATGACTTGCTTGCTGCTCCTGACAGACAAAACCCCCCACATTGTGCAGTTTAGTTCTATTCTTCTTCCCTCAGTTACTGAACAAAAAAAACACATTGTGAGGGCCTAACAAGATGAGCAGCTTCGGTGCCACACGAGATAATCGCGGTAGACAAAAACTAAACAAATAAATTGAAGATGTTGACTGATGTGTTCAGGGGCTGTCTGACTCTTCGAATTACCCAGCATTGTAATACTGTCTCAAAACAACCTTCCAGACTGGTATACATCAGAATGCTTTATGCTTTGATGCCTCAGTGCTGCACATGTAACAATTACTAATTTACCAACCTGAAAAGAAATGAGCTAAAAACATTTGTTGCATCTATAAAATCTGCTGTATATTGGATCGTGCACCTGATCTCAGATTGAGAGTAGGAAATGTGAGTTTTATGGGACACATTGATTACATTTGGGCCCGGCCAAGGGCTGTAAGTAGCCTGTGAGCACACGTTGCACAGTGTTGCCTAGTTTTTATTAGGCCATTTGCCTTAATCACCTTGTAAACCTTCTCTGAGTCAAAATGGATACTCCAATTATAGCAGGAAGGCCCCCTGGGGATTCCTACCGTGATATCGTATTGGAGACATAGATGTGGTAATGATTTTGATTGGATCATGAATAGTATTTTATACCTTGAGCGTAATACTGACAATAACGCACGTTTGCTAACGATGTTTTTTACAGTGAGCAAACAGATGGGGCAGCCGACTGAAATTCCATCTGTAAATGTCTAAACAAGTCTCTAATGGATTCAATCTAGTTATGACTTTTGGAATTGATCCTCTACTTTGACTCACTCACACAGTGCACAAAGAGTGTCCTGACTTCTGCAGCTCTGTGCCGCATTGTGGCTGCTTTATTGTTTCATTCCCGAGAGGTGAAGCCCAGATATTCCTCTCTATGTTAAACTTTTCTTGTTCACAGTTTACATGTCCTTTGAGATGAACAGAATATAAACTCAAATGCCAGGAGTGGAATTAATGAAGCCTGTTTCTTTTGTTCTTTCCAAAGAAAATCTCATGTTGATACTTCAAACTCTCAAGATCTTTCCTTGTACACATTTTTATGTGTTCCTCTTGCATGGACAATAAAACAAGTCTTTGAGGTATTGTACTACCCAGTATCCATGTGCGATGTGATTAGACTTCTTGTAGTTTTACAACACTTGTTGTTTTGGGAAGTAGCCCAATTACCCAATCATCTCTTCCCAATTTATGGAAATGTAAGCCAGAGACAGAGATATTAAATATGTTTAATCTGTTTTCACACAAAACTCTTGAAAAGTTCCTGACTTTTTTTTGTGGTGAGCTGAATGTGTGAACTCAAACGTCCACCACGTTTTCACCATGACATTTCCTGCAAGCCCCCCAGTAAAATTCCACCACGAACCCTGTGAACACGGGTAAGATTCAAGAAAGCAAGTGAGCAGACCGGGGGGAGGGGAGATGTTCATATCTCGCGACCGTTATTATCTTTGTGGACATACTTTGTGCTGCTTCATGCTCTTTTCCGCTCGGCAGTACGTTTCTTTTCCACTCGTTTGTTGATACTGTGAATACGTCCAATTCAGCATTTATATAAAGGCAAAAAAAAAATCACTATGTCACTATGATGTCACACTATTTCATAGTTGACACGGCTACCTCCATCTGGCTTACACTCCGCTTACCAAATAAGAGTACTGTTGGCTGTGGAAACGCAAGCAAGATTAAGGTTTACCGTACCGCGCTGAACCAAACCAGACTGCTTGGTGGAAACAGGGCTTAACAAACTGCATGTCTCGTTTATAAAAGTGACTAAATTAAATTAATTTTCTTCTGCGCCTGCATCTCCTCCACAACTATCCACCATGTGACTTTGTCTACGCTGTGTTCAAGTGATGTAGGACAATTTCTACAACTTGACAGATCCAGATGCTCGTGTATTCAAAATCACTTGCCGCTGTCACACACGGCTAAATGTTTAATGGATTTAAATTGCTTACAAAATTCAATCTTGTTGTTTTCCATATACTTACTGATTAAAAAAGCTTAACATTGAAATGCCAAGCACAATCCACACACACATTCCTTATTAATGCCAATTAGGACCACTTAGCTTGGTCTGTTTTTTTCATCTTTTTTTTTTATTTGATGTGTTCTGTTTGTAAAAAGGAGACTTGAAGGATGTTGAGAAGCTCATTCATCATCGAAATCTATATTTGTCAGAAACCACTTCGCAGCTGGTTAGCCATTTCATTTTTTATTTCACAGGCAGCTTTGCATACTTCTAATGCTAATCCTGCAAACACTGATATTTCTGCTTCATAGCTCAATAACATTTCTCACTTCTTTTTTTTCCTCTCCCGTCTTAATTACCATGAGTCCTTGCCAAAGTCAGAACAAGGACACGACGACAACAACACTTTGTGGCACTGAACTGCAACATTGTTCTATAGCGTTACAAATTGAATAAAATTATTTTCTTATCATTGACCTTCTTCAAACTGTATCCCTGTTATGAATCACTCTCTAACATGATTCACATGTATTTGGCCTAAAGAAGTGAGACTAGTGGACTGAGTGAGGGGTACAGGGGTATGAGAAGAACCTCAACATTTTGCTGTTTTATGTACAGTACCTGTCAGAGAGCAGGAAGGGACACACGTCAGGCACAGGAGGGGTTGAAGGCCGGAGCTTTGCCAGCGCCATGATGTGTTCAAAGGTGATGTCTGTCTGAGTGCACACATCCACCACACGGATTTCCTGAGGGGAGCCATGGGGCCGGCCGCTTGGGGTCCGCCTGATGACCTGCACCACGACGGGGTCCTTGGCAGCGCGAAAGGCCTCCACGGTCTCCTCATGGCTCGACTTGGACAACTCCTTACCATTCACCTAAGGGAGACAAGGAAAGATAGACTTGTGAATATATTGAGATCCACAATGCTTTATACATTTTGCCTTATTCTGTTGACTGTTGCTATGGAGACAGTCTATGGTGGCAGAGCCATTGTTGACATGGACCTAACCCTAGTGCTTCAGCTAAATCTCTGTATACGGAGCGAAAGAAGAACCTTCTGGCCATTCAACACTGAGCCAGAAGGCAAGATACAGTGAATACTGCTTTAACTATGTTTGTTACACTTTGATATAAAGGAGGAACAGGAATACAGAATCTTGTCTCGCAGGTCCATGACCTCTGTCTCCCTCTCAAAGGAAGTCCATATAAACACATAGCACTCTCTGGGTCTGAATACAACTAATCCAACCTCTTCATTCTCACTGCTACACTGTTGACTGAATATTTTTGACATTCAACCAAAATGTGAATCTTTCTTACCGCCTTCTACATAATTTAAACTGTTTTTAAGGTTTACAGCATCAAGTTTCCAACAAAACACACCCCATTTTTTTGAACATGCAACAGTCAGTATTGTGCCAAAGGGCATTTTCTCAGGGTTAATGTATTCACAAAGAAATTCATTTTTTCTTCAGCATCTTTTCTTGACACATGATCAAAAAGAAACCTTCATGAACATAACACTGAAAAAACTTACACACACACATAAAAAAAAAAAACAGTTTGATGCATCATTATGGAAATGTTAGATCAAAGCCCAAATGGCCTCTCTGTTCACTCAGTCCGTCTTCAGACTCATCTTCAGAAAATGAACTGGATTTTTCAGGCGGATTGAAAACCATTTGCACTACAGCTGGCACATATAAAGAAAATCATTGCTTCATTTAACATCAGTAATTTCTTTGGAAGAGCAACCATGGCTGTGAAATACCTCAGAGAACGTGCTTTGGTATAGACGCTGAAACCAGAGATTATAATTTAGATAACCGCTGGGAGAAATTAAAGTAGACACTCCATAATTACACTTGCAGTTGTATTTAAATATGGTTTTGGAGGGGAGCATTTCGCCCGCACAGCGGACTGAAATTAGCTTAAATGATAACTAGAAAAGTAAAAGTCGACATATAAATTCATAAGTGTCAGCGGAGGAGGAACATCGAAACACGTGGGAAAATCAGCAGCAGTGTTTCAGAATCTAAGTCCTAAAAACAACCCAGTGGTAGAAATAACAAACATCAACCAGTTCAGACTCTAACGAAATTGACCTCAATTAATGAGAGGACAGTTTTAAGTAGCTGTGTTTGTCTGTATGAGGCGCCTCTAAATGAGCATTACAGATGCAGAAGCCAAGAGGGAACTCCTTCAGAGGGAGCTTCTATTTTCAACCACAAACTGGTTAACTCTATACTTTGCTTAATCACTCTTTAAAATGTCTTACTGAATTTGACAGCATACATTTTGATACATTCTGTCTGTGTGTTCTGCAGTAGCATAAAATCAATTGACACCTGGCAGCATTAATTCTCTGTGAAGTCAGGCTCAGCATGGATATTTTTATCCCACTAAATATATCTGCATCTATGTTACATTTCTTGATAAGTCCCAGTCTCAGATTTATACCAGACCAGGGTGTCAGTTTGTGTCTCGCTTCAGCAGAAAACCTAACTCATCCTTTACGATTACTCATCCATTTTTATCTTCATGTAAAAGGAAACTGTGAAAAAAATACCAATCAAAACTTCTCAAACAACAGAGTGAGATCTTCAAATGTCTCATTTTCAGACACTCTCATTTTGTTTATTGTAGACAGAATCAGCTGCTACATTTTAGTAGCTACAGTTTCTTTTTCCTGATTGAAAAATAATACTAAATGAGTTACTTATTATTTTATTAACATAGTCTTTTAGCTCTCCCTTTTCCTGTCTACACAAGCCAACTGAAACACCTTGTAATGGATTATATATTCCTGTGCATTTGTAATTGCTATTTTACACTCAGACTGTTTTTTTTTTTTGGAAACTGTGAAGACCAAGAAGGAAACACTTTCCAGCTTTTATTTTCCAAATAGTCCCCAAAATATGTAGCTGAAATGAATACATTTATGACCCCACCGTTTGATCTTTCAAATCCTTAAGGGGGGCTAATGCATTATTTAACCATATAAAAACAAAACACTTTAATTGAAGACTGTTTTCCATTCCTATTTTGGGTCACACTCTCACAAACATGCTCTGGGTTTTTGTTATCTGGGTGTTTGTGTTGCACATTACAGTTCTAACTATCTCTACTCAAGCTACCGTAAATCTTCAAATAAAGGACCATCCCCATTTAAAGCCCAGTCCCTTATACTGGCCTGGTGTTGACATACAGTATGTTTTGACAACTAAAGACAGGTCTCAGTTAGAGGCCCTTTGCATTTAGTGTTGAAATAGTCTGTGGATCAAACACGATGAGGAAAAGCAGCAAGACACAAGAACTTCAACATCTCTCAGAGAAAGAAAGAATAATGTTGGAATGCTCTTAAAAAACTAGGTAACAATTCTGATTTTGTAATTAGGGCCGAAGCACTGATGAGTGCGTAGGAGCCTCTTGCGATGCAAATGATTATTTCATTAGTTTTATCAATATCTTAATTTTGAATTGGTACACAGTTAAGTACATTTTCTGTTGTACATTTACAATTTTAAAGTCTTTACCATCTTTGCTGTGCACATGTTTTGTTTGAAAGTAATTAAAAGCCAATCTCAAATTGACGCCTGTCCCTAATAAAGGAAGGATAATTTCACAGACTCAAGCAAAAAAAAGCTCAGGCTATTCATTTAAGCTTTATGGTATTTCGTAATACACCTCGGTTGTTTTGGTGGACTCTAGAAGGCGTGTTTAGGACAAAAAAGTCAAAGGGAAGGATTCCACACAGGATATAGCAGTATATGCCACACCTGTTATAATGCATTTTAAATACCTCTTGGTCACCCTCTTATGACATCATCAGGGTCAGTTTCTCCAACTTTAAAGGCTCCCTCCAGACAAATGATGCCATCAGCGGCGCACCCCTTTTATTAATTTATTTCAATTACAAAAACCCAAATGTGGAAACAGTTTAATAACAAGAATACTGAGGATCCCGGTTCATTCCCAAGTGACTTTGTGTTTGTGTCTGGTTTATTGTTTCTTCTTTCACTTCTCATTGTGTGTCTCTCTGGAGACTGAGTGATGCCCTACAAACCCCCGCCCCCCCAAAAAAACACATTATTTTCTCAGCCTTAAAAGTAGCCATTTAAAACTCCCCTAGCTCTTGTTGTGCCCTGGCCTGCTCTCCTGCCTCTAGATGTGACCTTTGTTTGTAGCGATGTTACATTAATCACCTGAGTGGGAGATAAACTGGGTCAACACCACTCCTGTGGAACCGCGGGGCAATTTAGAGGGAAAATAAACGTGCGGTCGTGCAGCTTTCCCTCATCCCTCCTTTCCCCCCCTCACAAACCTGCTTTCATTCTGGTTTTTGTCCATTCAGCAGATATTAAATACAGCAGCACTTACATTAGAGTTAAGTACTGTATTAAAAAGACATGGAGCACTATAATAATTAGCTTTGATGCATCCTGTGACTGTCTCGCTCGCTCTCTCTCTCGCTCTCTTTTCTGTCGTATTTTCCTGCTTGTGTCTCGCTCTGCGGGCTAATCCAGGAACATGGTGCTTGGTGGAAACAAAGGAGTTGGAGCAGACAAATGAGGCAGCCTATGGCGTATGACAGTCCCAGAGAAAAATGATCAAATTTCCCAGCTCTCCCTCTGGTACAGCCTGTCCAGTCAAAGCTCCTCCTCCTTCCAGCCTCGCTGCTTGCGAGCCATACTCCAGGATTGTAATGAAACAAGTAGAGAGACTTAAGGAAAAGAGCAGGGTTTTCATAAGAGCCAGATGGAACAATTAATCTCCAAATCAACACAGGAATATTAAGTAGCCTTAACTCCTGCATGCGAGGCTTAACCATCCTTGGCTGATGTACATACAGCTAAACACACTGCCTAGTTGTGTTAGTTGCTTGGGTCTGCAGTCCTATCTGACAGATGGGAAGGGTTTCTCTAAGCCTGGCTGCAGCTTCCCAGATATTCCAAGAAAAAGAGAAGATACCCCTCAGCAGAGTGCTCCAGATGTCTTTACTCTGTGCAAAGTGCAGCCCCAGCTCGCATTCCTAAACATGCTGAAGGTGACTCTAGTGCGAAACTTAAAAAAAAAAAAAAAAGAATCTCATCAATTGGCTTTATCTGCAAACAGCTTTAAAGCTGTCAAATTAAACACATTTTCTGTCCCATATTGAATATATTCAGTGCCTACGCTCAGTAAACTGTAGCCTCTAGAAGTTTCATTGCAAATATTTTGATGTTGTTACACTCAAAGCATGCAAAGTATACAGATAAGTATTCATTCATAAACACATGCTGGTAAACAAAATGTGTTTGCAACAAATTATTTAGCAGCTGGAGTGTTTACCAAGTCTAATGCAGCTCTGAGAGTGCTCCATACGCACAAAGTCAACATGAATTATCTTACTGGTCTGAAACAAACCAATAGGGATTATTTATGAGGGATCGTTTGCTGTATAACTGGGCCAGGAAATGATCAGGTAGATGCAAAGTTGGAACAATATGAGCGCTGGGATGGAGTAACTGGACCAAGACGCATCTGCTGGCTGTTTGCAGGTGGATCTGCAGCAGCTGTAGCCAGAAGAGAAATTTGTTTTTTATTCAAAGCCTCCTGAGACGCCCAACAGCCTTTCCACAACAAAACCAGCTCAGTCGAGTGTAGCGAAAGGATGAAGCCTCTCGCTTTCTATTCTTGCATTTTCTCTGTGCCACAGTCCCATATTGACAAAGACACTGAAGAATGTTGTATTTGTGACGCAGCTGAGTGAATTAAGTCTTGGCTTCAGTAAATATCACACAACACTTTGAGCTGTTTGGAGCTGTTATGAGCAAACGGACTAAAAAAAAACCCAAAAAACTCCACCAAAAGTATTTCATGTGTTCTATGAAGT